AAAGACTCCATATTAAAAAGTAGCAAAAAGGAGTAATTGGCTACTTAAAATATATCTATTTATAACATATACAGTCAAATCAAAAATGATTCAGACACCAGATATAATTTTTTATATTTTTTTTACTAGTGGGTGCAGGACACTATACATCATTTATGTAAGTGAGGATAGCAAAATAAAGTGAACTGTGACATATTATACCCAAAAATTCTTCATACAGTAAAACTGATAAAAACAATTGTTCAGACACTTTGACCTGAACATGTTTTGCTTAAGTGTTTTTTCTTTGATTGCTAACGCAAACATTTTACACCACAGACTGAACAAATTTAAGCATTGTTTGGTAACTAGTTGACCTAAATTGGTATTATCTAATTGTGTACTTAAATTTAACAGCTGACAGCTATTTAACCTAATTCATTACATATCTTTCTATCAAAGTTATCTGATATTATAAAGATTAATTTGTTCTGACACAGTTTAATTCTGAGTTCATGTCATATTTTATTACCATTTTCTAAACTAGCGATAGTGTGATAATGTGAGAAATGTTGAAGGTGTCTGAATAAATGTTGGCTTTTACTATATACACACACACACACACACACACACACACACACACACCCATCTATTTTATGTGTGCTTTCTGCAGGGGATGCTGGGTATTAGTGCAGTGTGCCCATTAGGAACAGAGCGACAGGGCTGGGCACCCCTGTCCGCCATTAACTGCGGATTAGTGCTGGACCTCACACCCTTTGATGAGCGGTTTCTTCACATCCGCTCTACTGAAAGTCGGCAGGCAGTCACGCTCTTGTACACACACTTTTTCCAAACCTACTGTATTGAAAATACAAACGGTGTGTTTGTCATATTCATTATTCCATGAAACTGTATCTTGTTTGTGACAGAAGACAATTCTCTTAGTGTGATTTGAGATTAACAATGCCACAAACACTTAAAAGGAGTGTCAGTGTCAAAGCTTAACTTTTCAAATTTGTAGTAATAATTATTTTGATGCTGGTGTTTAAAGGAGTGAGAGGTTATTTTAAGAAGCTGACCTATCTGTTTCAGAGCTGCTCTATTTTCTAGTGCACACTGCCCTCTACTGTCACAGAGCTTAAACAGGGGTATCGGGATGTTTTCTAAAATTGAAGGGGAAAAAATTTTTTTTGAGCAATTATAGTCAAACACCTGGTATAGCAGAAGCTAGAAGCATCTCCACAATTAAGTCACACAATACACTGCCATTCATAAGTTTGGGGGATTTTTTTATGTTTTTAAAAGGAGTCTCTTCTGCTCACCAGTTGCATTTATTTGAGCGAAAGTAGTCAGTAAAAACAGTAATATTGTGAAATATTATTATAATTTTAAATAACTGTTTACTATTTGAATATCATTTTAAATTATTTTTTCCCCTTGATGGTAAATCTGAATTTTCAGCAACCATTACTCCAGTCTTCAGTGTCACACAATCCTTCAGAAATCATTCTAATATGCTGATTTGCTGAAACAAGTTGTGCTGCTAGATATTTTTTGTGTGGAAATCGTGATACATTCTTTTCAGAATTCTTTGACACTTCAAAAAGAAAAATATTTATTTAAAATATAAATCTTTTGTAACATTGTCATTACTGACATTTTGATCAATTTAATGCATGCTTATTGAATAAAATAATTAATTACTTTAAAATTTGTTTTACTGATGCCAAAAATTTTGAATAGTAGTGTACAATCTTAACCAACTGTTTCAGGGTACTTAATTTTTCTGAATGAAAAAAGTTCAATAATCTGACACTCAGAAGAGCTTTTATACAGTAAGACAAAAATCCATTAAAAGAATAATCCATATAAATATACAAATTCTGTCATTTACTCACCCCTTATGTCATTCTTAACTTTCTTTTTTCTTTGGAACTTAAAAGCAGATGTGTTGGTAACCAAACAATATAATTTCCCATTTAATTCTAGTCTATGAGCAAAAAATAGAATGGAAGTTAATGGGAACCAAAACTGTATGGCTATCAACATTCTGCAAAATATCTTCTTTTATGTTTCGCAGAAGAACAAAAGTCCTAACAGTTTGGAATGACTTGAGGGTACATGATGAAAGAATTTTCATTTTTGGCTGGACTGTGACTTTACGTTTTTCTCATTGTGACATTTAAAGGGTTAAGCAATATTTACATTTTACATAATACTACATTTTATATATTTAAACAATATTATTTATATCATTATTGTATAATCTATACTTTATACACAGTTTGGGCAGTTATTTTGTTCATATTTTGTATTTCGAATATTGAGGTTACAGGCACAACTGCACAATTCACAATACACTGTAATTAACAGTAATGTTAAGCAATATAAGTACTGAGATCATGAAGAATGGAAACTTCATCATTTGGATGGCTTTCCAGGCCCTGTATTTATTGTATGTTGATGGTAATTATTGGCATAAGCAGACAAGTCAGAACTCTCTCTCTCTCTGGTCAAGCCACGTATTTCCCCCACTTTTCCAGTGCAGACTTCAACCAGACACTAAAGATAAACATCAGCAGTGAGACCCAAGACTGCATGACTTAGCAACAACTCAGAAATATCCTGAAAGGGATTTTTTTCCATAAACACATCCTTTTCCCCCTCTCACAAATACCTTTTTGTCCGGTTTCAGACGTTATTTTTTCCTCACGTTATTTGAGTGGCATCAATGAGTCAATTTGAGTCAGTGGAATAATCCCTCTGTGTTGCATATGATTAGTCAGCTCAGGCTCTAGCAAGCCAGCAGGCTTCTGAGCCGTAAACAGGCAGCGCTGTGTGCTTTAGAGACTGGAAGCTTTGGAAAGACAGTATGAAAGGCCTGTTTAACGGCCGTCTGAGCCCTAGTGTGGACAGAGCGCCACTTAGAAGGTGTGGCACATCCTGAGAGAGTGGAACACATGCACATACACATCGAGGCTGATTTCCTGTTGCCCTGCCTGCACAACGCTCTCATAGTAGTCCCAAATCAGTCAAGAACGAGTTAAAGAAAACATACTTAGAAAATACTGTGACATTTGTTTTCATAGGCCTTTTATGGCATATATGAACATCAGAGATGTGTTTGATATTGATTTGTGGAGAGGAAAGTCCTGTGTCAATGAAACATGCATTTGCATATGTCCTCAACATGAACTAGCAACAGAAATCCTGCAGGTATAAATCACACGTTATGCTCAACGTCACAGCATCGTACACTTAAGAGAACTGATTTTTCAGTTTGTTCTTGTGGAAATCAGCTTTCACGAAGGATATGCAACGATCACAGTGCATACGCTGAAGCAGTGCGACAGTGTCACTGTTTTGTCAATGCAAAATTTCCATATGGACTCATTAAATCAGGGATTATGATTCCAAGGGACATTGCAACAATGGTGGATCATAATAAACCCATATTTTGTGAAATACTAGTGTGTAGACAGACACTCTGCTCTCTCTCGCTCTTTGTTTAACAGATGTTAGACTCTGTGTCAGCGAATGCAATAGCGGATCTTAAATTATTTATTGTTACAAACAGATAGCAGCAGTACAGTTAAAGAGAAACATAAATTTGTGTTTTGTGGCTTATTGTTCTAAGCAACTCTTTCTGTGAAGAACAATGTATTCTGCATGATGTGCTGCTTGCTTGCAGTGGAAATGAAACATGAAGCATGAAGATACTACTGTATCTCTTTTCAAAGAACCACTGTGTTGCCAATGCAGACATCTAAGCTTTGGCACACTAGATCTCCATGGCCAGGAAATTCAGCAAATAGTTTGAGGGTGATGTGAATATTTAGTTAAGATAAGATTAGTAATTGTATTTGTGCAAAGAGAACATCACTGGTTCTCAGTAAATCTGTTGAGATAAAATTATGTGGGCAGAGAAAACATCACTGTTCCCAGAATGTCCGTGTAGATTTCATATTTATGTCATGCTGTCATATAAGACTTCATGTGTTTCCTAACAATATTTCACAGACGGTCATTCTAAAAATAAAACATATGGGATGTTTGAAATAGCTTTGGAATTAGGGCTTTAGTTGAAACTAAATGCTATTCAGATATTTTAAGAATGCTATGCTTTTCAAAAGTCTACCATGAATCTAGCCAGAGAATACTGGAAGGTCCAAAAGAAACTGGTGCTGCTTTTTCTCTCGTTTACTATGCCTGCATTGTCAAAGAGCAGATGCTCTTCAGTATTTTGCTGTTGCTGTTGTGTTATTTTACTTCTCATATTCTATTTTTGTGTTTTAAAAAGGTTTAAAATATTGAACATTTAAAAATGTGCAAGGACAAAGGTCTATTCTGCACTTCAGTATTTTAGAGAATAATGCAACAATTGTACTCTGGGATCACAGCTGGCTGTCAAAAGCTGCCTTTTATACTGACTGCCTTATCACACAGTGGAATTTTTTTTCAGTTAATATCTGGTAATATCCAGATGCATTAAAAAATTCTATCTTACACTAATGAGAGATGACAACTCTCAAAGCCAATTTTTGGGCTTTAATTTCAACAAAGCAATTTGAAATGACTCTGGTGACCACACATAACTTTAGCAGCAGCATAACACATAAATAAGATGCCCGCTTGTTTCATTTTCCTTTTTGTGTAATAATGATCTTTTAGCTTTTTTCAGAAAAGGAAACACTTTCCAAACACACACAAATATACACATTCACAGGCAGATCATGACTCATCTTATCAGTACGTACAGATGATTTTTATCCTAATCAAACTTTTTTTTCCATATGAAGTCATCTACAATCATTCACTCATAATTTCAGTTAGGCTTTGTTCAAATAATTCAGGTGATGCATGCCACAAGTACCTCAGTATAAGCAGCATCCCAGTGTGCTACAGTGTGCCAGTGTCTCTGCTATGCATATTTTTTAGTCCACATATAAAAACAAAACCATGTCACATTTCACGCTTGGTTTTCCTGTAACAATGTATGCCTTAAAAAATGTAATCTATGCCTAAATAAATAGTTTTTCTTCAAGCAAACTAAAAGATCTGTTCAATAGTGTCTGTTCACTGTCTATAAACCTATACCCAAAAAGTTTCATGGTCGGCCCACAAACTTTCTGTACAACTTGGGCCAGTTTGAACGGTATACTAAGCCGCCATTTCTCCACCTGTTCTGAAGAGTTTTTTTGGGTGGAATACACACCACTTGCCTCGGTTGACGCATGCGTGTTTTTGAGGATCCAACCCCGTGCTTGTGTCGTCATCGGAATCCCTGTGAAATTGTACATTTCTGCTGCTTTCTGCATGGGGTACCTGGCGATATCCTCATAACGTACTAGCATATAACGGTTTTTCAGCCATTTCGGCTGACTCAAGCCCAACTCGGCAGAGATGCGGATATTGTTACAGTTTCCTTCGAGACGTTTGACCTCTTCTTCCTCTATAGGAACGTCTCCATTCGCTGCCCAGCTTTTCCAGTTTTGGTACTTACTTGCAAAGGCCACCATCCTTGATGCCAGGATGGCTCGAGGGTCTCTGACCAGCTGAATGAGTTTGATATCCAACCGAGGGTCCTCTACTAGAGAATGAAGTGTGTCTAATTGTCGGACCCTCACTGTTTTGATCACCCTGTGCTGTTTTCCTAGGCAGACCTCGGAAGCCAAGGTCAGATTGAGCGGCCCGCATCGTCTCGTCTTGCAGTGGTACCTCTCAAAAACGACTTTTACAACCGGAGAGCAGACTTGCTCCTCACACAGGGCCTTGCTGGACTCTCTGCGGAACAGGACAGGGGTGACATGGTCCCGTGGAGGAGGGCTGATGAAACGCTCCAACATTGAGAAGTTACACAAGAAGAGATGCTGTAGGACATCTCTGTATACCCAAACAGAAGTGCTTGCATTTGTGCCACTCGAGCCAATCGATAGCATCCTCTCCACGTGCCAGAGCGGCTCAAAGAGGTAAAACATGTTTCCACCCTGTTGGTTGAAGAACTCGCCTACGAAGGAAGATCCTGTGCGAGTGGTAGCCATCAAGAGGATGTGCTTTCGACCTGCCTGAATGCCGTTCTCAGCATACATGTCCTCTGGATAGGAACTGTTGTCGTCCATTACTACCAGAGCGTTGGAAGCATTGTAGGGCACTGGAGGCTCCGTCTGTGGGGTCCGTCTAAGTGTCAGCTTGTCTGAGACCCTGTACATTTTAAAATGTCAAATTAAAAAAAAATGTCAAATCCATTTCAATAAATATTTGTATTTTGGGGGGCGTATTTTTAGTTAATCCAAAAATTCTCACCTTGATATAATGTTGTTTTCTTTTTCAATGATGACAAGTGCCACAATGCAGATAATGATGACTGCATACTTGTTCCTCATTCTCAAATTAACTTTGATTTAGGAAATGCCTCCACAGGCTGCTAATTCGTCACTGCTGCAAACTGATTTGGGTTCATCTCATGTCAGAACCTGGGTTACAATTCATCTGCAATAAACAAAATCAAGACAGGAGTTTTGGCATCATTTCCACACAGACATAAAACTCACTCAACTAACACACCCAGCCCTATGTATTGATTCCAAGCGGTGACAGATTTATACTGTTTGGCACAGGGGAGTATAAGCAGACACAGACAATTTCAGCTTTGTTCCCAAACAAGCAGCCTGCACTGTCATCACCTGTCCAGTAACTCCACTAATGTGGAACGATGAGAGATGATGAGGTCCACAGAACACAGTGTCTCTCTTTGGTAACTGCTTACTGTGGATCACAAAGAATCATCAAAAGTAGTACTTCTTTAGTTTTTACATTGCTATTCAAAAGTTTGTAGTCAAATAGGTTATTTTTCAAATGTTTTTGAAAGAAGTCTCAAAGGCTGCATTTATTTGATCAAAAACAGTAATATTGTGAAATGTTATTAGAATTTAAAATAAATCTTTTCTATTTTGATACAGTATATCTAAAAATGTCATTTCTTCCTGTGATGGTGAAGCTGAATATTCTGCAGCCATTACTTTAGTCTTCAGTGTCACATGATCCTTCAGAAATCATTCTAATATGATGATTTAGTTTTAAACAGTTGTGCTGCTTAATATTTTTGTGCAAACTGTAATACATTTTTTTCAGTACTCTTCAATGAATATTAAGTACAAAAGAAGAACAAAGGAACAAAGTTAAATTTTTTTGTAACATTACATTGTCATATTTTATCAATTTAATGCATTCTTGCTGAATAAAATATTTCTTTAAAAAATCTTACTGACCCCAAATATTGAATGGTAGTCTATATTAATCCCTGGAATTATTATATGTATATATTTTTTAAATCATATTTATTTTAAATGTTAAATATTTTAAGTGATAAAATTGTAATTAGAATGAGAATGGAGTGATCTTCAAGCTTCACAAAAAAAAAAAAAAAACATCAAAATAGCTCATAACTTAGCCACAGAATGTTCTGCCTCTATAACCCGCAGAGTCAAAAGGAAATGACATTTCCTATTGCAGCAAGTCTGTAATGCTTTCATTAAATCTTGGAAGCCATATGGTGTGGGTGGAATTTTGTTTGTTTGACACGGTTTTCATTTTCTGAGAGTTAGCTATACAGTTTGAAATGAACAATTGGGTCAATGTCTTCTACACATAGTTTTAAATCATCTGTTGTTGCAGCATTTATTTAATATGCAATGTTTCCATCCATTTTAGGAAAGCAGACATTCGCTTTAGCTTTAGCATTAGCTTTTTTTCCTTATCAAAGTTATATCACCAGATTCAGAATAGTTACAGATTTGAATACAGAGGTTTAAATATGCTAATGACTGTTCCTAAGAAGAGTATTAATGTATGAATAACAGACTCTTTATTAATTATCAAAACTTCTAATGTAAAGAAACTGGGAAACGGTAAAGGAACAACACCATTAGAACACTACAAATATATTGGGATGTTGTGTTGCAATAAAACCAGCAGCTTTAGGGCATGTTTGACCCCAGATAACCCCACCGAATGGCTTTAAGTAGGTATGCTGCCATAACCCGACGTAGCTCTATTCAGAGCTGTCGTTTACTAGCAACAGCAAGGCAAACAACACCGGTTGACAGGGGTTAATCTGGACCATATCAAGACCACATCTGTACAAATAAACCTACCAGACCTCTGCCAGACAGTGGCTTTTATGAATGTGACATTTTCCTAAACTGTGCTAAAAACACAAGGAGAGCCAGTGCAATATTGTAGTCATAAAATAAGACGTGTACCAGTGGGAAAACTGTCATAGGTAAATGCCATGCAATTTGTCTGCACAAAGAGTAGCATTTAGGATATGACACAATTTTCGAGCCGTCAAGGAATGATAGTGTGCAGTGTAAGTAAATATAAACCAATTATGTGGGCTTATTATGCCACAGCCGTCAAACTGTCAGGCACGGCGGTTGAGCTGAGATCTTTACATATTCAAAAACCACTGAAGCATTTGACAAATCTGATGATCTGCTCAAGCAGAAACGGACATCACTCTGTTCATCATTCCCATACAAATTACATTAATGGCTTATCTTACAGCCTTATAGATGTGTTAGACAAAATGCTTAAATAATCCTACTGTTGCACTGTTTGGGTTTATTTTTCATTGTGTAAAAAATACTTCGATTTGATTTGTTCCCCAGAGATGGAAGATACACATCAGTAGCTTGTTAAAATAAACTACAGTGCATCTGATGCTTTCAGACTGGTCTGTGAAATATGGTCAATCATTTTAAACCTTTGGGATAGCACCACTTTTTATCCAGGAGTATTACACGGATATAATTTAGTGGCATTTTCTGTCAGAAAACATGACACAGGAAGTGAGTTAGCATGGGTATCAGAGAGGTGTGTGCAGTCTGGGGCGAAGGAGCATGTTTCATCCTTGTGTTTTTGTCTTGTTTCATTACGGAGTGCTT